GGGGAGTGGATTTTGTACGCCTAGTAGTTGACCGTTATAGTAAATGTCAATGGCCCAGATTGAATTTGGGTCGATCTGACAGTCACGATTTTATTTTTTTTGAATTTTAATTTTTTTTCTATAAATCTAAAGTGCTTGAAATTTTAGGTGTATATTCTTCTTATCAAAGCGTATTTAATAAAAATATAAAAACAATAATCCGTTAAAATTTTTTTGACCAAATTACGCTCAAAGATTTATAGGGGTATTTTGGTTAATTTTTTTATGTAAAACATTTTTTTTATATTTTTTGAAGATTCATTTATTTTTTAGATACACACACTCTAAATTTCAGATCAATCCGATTAGTAGAAAAACAATTAAAATTCAAACACTACCGGATGTTCGGGATCGTCAGATCGGTTTAGATTCAATCTGGGCCGTTAATGTTAACTGTAGTATTACGTTTTTGGGTTGACATGATGTTTTCCCATATATATATATATATATATATATAAAACATAATGATCCTATGAGACCATTTCACACCCATATGTGTAGGACTTCAAATAATCAATAATTAAATTTGGCACAGATATCTATAAAAGTCAAATCTCACACCCATGTGATAACTTTTTTAGAAATTGGTGCCAAATTGAGTGGTGATCTTTAAGGTCATACAAACATAGGTGTGGGAGGGTTTAATAAGATCATTATATATATATGTGAATGAGATTGTCAACATAAAACTATTTTTCTTTTGTATTTGGAGTTCACAATCATTTTTGTCATTGAATATAGATAAAGTTTCAAAACAATTTTTTTTTGGATTTTGTGACCATTTATGTGTATTTTTTTAAGGGAAAGTTTTCTATGTTCCCCTTACAACATTGAAGTTCTATCGTCCTCCTACCATCCAGCCATCCATTTTTTATCAAGAGAGCCACTCACCGTTTGATCTTAGATATGACATCGTAAAGAATTTTATTTTTAGTTTTTTTAATACAATTTTTCTGAATATGAAATTTGGTACATGTCATCTTCTCATTGGGGCACACCTATAAAAAATATTAACAATAATTTTTCGATAAAAAATAATGACCAAAATACCTTTTCAAACTTTTAGGGGTATTTTGGTCATTTTATTTTATTAAAAATATTTTTTGTTTATAATTTTCGTTAGTGCGAGTTTAATAGAAGAATGGACGTCCAAAATTTGGTATCAAAATTGTTTATAGAAAAAAAAAAAAAAAAAAGAATAGGGAGGTGATATTTTGATTGGGCCAATCTTAGCCCTCCATTAAAAAATGGACGATTGGATAAGGGAAGGATAGAACTTCTATGTTGTAGGGGAACATAGAAGCTTTCCCTTTTGTATATCCACAATAGTTAAGAAAATATATTGATTTCTATTCTTTCCCTTTATATATCTACAATAATTAAGAAAATATATTGATTTTTACTTTAAGACAGTGGATCAGGAACTACTGATTTGGTACACAATATTTAATTGAGGTTGTGCTTGACTTTGTTATACAAAGATATATTTATCTCTAGACGCTTCTATCGTTCATCAATAAAACTCTCTCTCTCTGACTCTCTCAATCGAACGTACTTTACTCTCAATTGATATTTTATTTCAAAAACAAAATTCTAAAAATTAATAAAAAATAAATAATCTCTAGGTCTCAATTTTAAAAAATAATTCTAAAAATTAATAAAAAACAAATAATCTCTAGGTCTCAATTTTAACATTTTACATCTTGCCTATTCCTTTTACAACTAATCCAACACACATATCCAAAACTTCATAGTCGTTTAGCACGTTATCAAACACAGATACTTAAAACTTAACATTCCAGAGGTTATCAAACACAGAAATCCATAACTTTTTTAACATCGCAGCAGATTATCAAACACAGAAACCTTATACAAGATTGTTACCTTATATATACCTTGGAAATAGCCTATTTTTCATTTTACTCGTACGATTTTTATTTAACTTAAAATACCCATGAAAGTGCATACGACTCGAAGTTGAAATAGTAGAAAAATGGTAAAATTTAAATAGTTGATAATTGATGTGTTTTTTGATAAATTTTCCTTTTAAGCTTTTTTTTCTCTTCAATTTAGGATTCCCGAGGGAACGAATGGAGGGTATAGTCCTGGAAGATAAGTAGTTAGGCTGCCTTTTTCAATTTCTTAAGGCAATTAATGATTCTGTTGATATGCGTGCTAATGTCAAACGGGACTTGTTTAGTGTTTAAGTGGTTAAAAAAAGGGCAATCAGAATCGGAACTGGAAAGTCGAGAATCAAATACTCCGAACCAATTTCATTAAAATATCGGGTATCGATTGCTTCTTTTATGAACTGACCAGTTCTATCAGTGAAAAATCGAGCGTATCAACTGAACCGTCCGTTTCCCTATTTACTTGTGGAACTTATTTTGAAACCACCTTATTTGATGCATATTGCGATACGTTTTTTGGACCGTCAATCCGCGAGATCTAGACCATTTTTTAGCTATAAATTTCACAATCCATGGTGAAAATAGATTTTAGATCCATCGTAGGATTTCCCATGTCCGAAATGTTTTCTAGACAAGGTTTCGAGGTGAGCCACTTCTTCTTTTAAGTCTTAGCCTTCACGAAACCGCGTCCTTTTAAGTCAAGAAACCACGTCCTTTCCATAACTCTCTCTCTCTCTCTCTCTCTCTTTCTTGTTCTTTCCGAGTTGCAGTAGTCTCCCTTGGGCGTCCAAAATATTTGACTAAGCAATGGATTTCCCATTGTCTAATTAATGCCACAGAGGAATTCTAAGGATCCACTTCAGATCGTCTCTCGCGAGGTGAAATCCAACGACCTCAAATTATGGACCACAGTACAAGCATCTGAACCGTCCTTTTTAATCGGCCGAGTCCACCACGAAGCAGATCAGGACCGTTCATGTCGAGAATTAAGAAAGTCTTCGAACATTGTAGCATTTGAACCGTTCAAACTTTGAATTAGTCAGTCTGAGTCATGAGCTAAGTCAAGAGAGATGGTTCGAGGAAGAGCCCATATTGCCCCATGCAAATGCACTCTTCTTTATAAGTGGGAGCCAAGAGACAGAATCCCAACAATAGCAAATTGAGAGAGAAACCTCTTAAGCTTTGATCCAGTCTCCGATTGCCATTAGAGAAAGAAAGAGAGAGAGTTTTTTTTTAGAACCCCAAAAAAAAAAAACAAACAAACATAGATATAGATAGATAGTAGATAGAGAAAGAGTGAGAATGAAGAACCTCACCATACTCATCACCTCCCTCCTAGCCCTTGCCCTACTCGACCCAACCCATGCCCTCGAATTCGTCGCCGCCAACAATGCTATCGGCACCCCCGGCGGCAACCGCTTCGATTCCGAGTTCGGTCTCGAGTACACTCTCCAGACGATGAATTCCGCTTCCGAATTCATATGGCGCGCATTCCAGCAAGACGAGGCCACTCGGAGGCCGGTGAGCAGGATTACCACCACCATAGAGAACGAGGATGGTGTGGCCTACACTAGTGGTGACCACATAAGAGTGAGTGCTCAATATATAGCAAACTTCAATGGAGATGTTAGGAGAGAGATAGTGGGGTTGTTATATCATGAGGTAGCACACAGTTGGCAATATAATGGGCAGGGTCATGCACCATCTGGGCTCATTGAGGGGGTGGCTGATTATCTTAGGTTAACAAGTGGGTATGCAGCCCCATATTGGATTAAGCCTGGTGGTGGAGATAGATGGGACCAAGGCTATGATGTTACTGCCTATTTTCTTCAGTATTGTGAGGGGTTGAGGCAAGGGTTTGTAGCTGATTTGAATGCTAAGATGAAGGATGGATACAATGTTGGGTTCTTTCAAGACTTGGTAGGGAAGAGTGTGGATCAGCTGTGGAGTGATTATAAGGCCAGGTATGGAAATTGAGTGGCTGAGACTTGACAGATGAATAAGAATTTAAGTGATTGATTGAGAGAGACTGTGTATTACTAGGAGTAAGAGCTGGATTCCTAGAGAATGCATGTTAAATTCCCTCAACCAGAAGAAATAAAGACAAACTATACAGCCTCTCTACCTTCTGAATTTGGGTGCCTTAATATGCTTTTTCTCTTTTCTATGCCTTCAACTTTGTGTCTTAGCATTCTCTCTCTCTCTCTTCTTTCTTTTGGAAAGGCCTTGGTGTGCTTAATGGGTGCAGTTGGCATATGTAGCTGTAGTTGTAAGGTGCACCTTCAAATTTTATCATGGTATATAATTTTGATGTAAAATAATTTTAGGATTATCTCAAAATCTATTTTTATATCTAATTATAAAATTTTGAATTTCAAAAGTGGTTAAAATCAAGTAGATCTATAAACATATGAAAATCTTAAAAATGAACAGTGTAGATAATATGTTGTAAAATGCATTTAAAATCTTTTTATTTTTTATGGTCATACATCTCGATATCGAGATGATCAATGAAAGGGTTTTTCAACATTAAACTACCTTTTCCGATGGATTTTTGAAGTGCATCCGTAGTTTTACATTATATCGTTGCATCCTTATATAAACTTTTTTCGTGCTTAATTAATCAGAATCAATGTCATGGATTATTTGTTTGTGAACATGATACCAAAGCATTGATGAAAAGGGGGCAGATTCCATTTTGAAAGAGAAATGAAAGGGGCAGCAGATAGATGAAAAGGGGACAGATTTTAGCTATAGGCCAAGGTTGAATAAATAGTCATGGCCACATTAACCTGACACTTGAAAACCATTAACTATTTTTTTTTTGGGACCAACAAGATTCAACTATTTCATTAAAATACTAAAATAGAAATTACATCATTAGAAACAGAAAGAGAAAGAAGAGAAAAACCCCCTTTGGCCAAGGCATCCGCAAAGCCATTAGGTTCACGGTAAACATGGGAAAAGGAAACTTATAGGATGGTCACCTTAACCAAAATCTGTAACCATAAAAATCGTAATTCCCATGGTACCCTCTGTTCCTTTTTACACCATCTGGGGACATTTAAGCGAATCCCCTTCTATTAGACAAAAAGAGCCTAGGTTCTTAGTAATGAAAATTTCGATACCCCTTAAATCTGCACAATTTGCCGTAGCAATACCAATAGGGCCAGCATAAGTAAACAAGACATTTCCATGGCAATCTCTAACAACCCCCCCAATACCTGTTGGCCTTGGATTCCCCATCGAGCTACCATCAAAGTTTAACTTGAAACTTCCAATAGGCATGGTATACCACAAACATTTGGGCCTAGAAGGTTTAGACCCCAGAGAGAAAAGGTTGGTCAGGTTGATCATGACATCAACCGTAGTTATGCCCCACTGGTTCTTATCCACCGAAAGAGATGACCGGATAGAAAGCTTAATAAGATGGATAAGCCTTTATACGGATAATGCGACTCCTTCAAAAGTCCTTATGTTTCTCTCCTTCCACACTTTCCATAAAATCATTCATTTTGCAATCTTCCAAATCATGCTACCAACCTTAGGCAAAGAGGGAATACTAAATTGTGAAACAATCCTACACTCTTTTTGGGGTAGCGTTAAAGAGAAACCAGCTTCACCGTATATGGGCAGTGGATCAATAGGTAGTCAACGAACTCACCATCCAATTTGTAGAGCAAGCAGATATTGGGAAGAATTTTCCCCCATTTTTGTAAATTATCAATTGTTAAGATTTTATCTTGCACAGCAAGCCAAATGAAGACTTGAGTTTTATGCGGTATAGGACACTTCCAAATTTGTACAATACTGAGGGACTACCATCTCCACCAGTCGTGAAAGAGGAGATTATAACAAGATTTGACAGAAAATAAACCATCCCTTTCAATTTCCCATTTCAAAATATCGCCTACCTCCTGAGAAATATAGATTTATCCAAGAGTTCCATCAAAGTGCATCATTGGGAAAGCATGACATTATTTAACCTTTTATATGACAGGGATAAATCCCATACGAACTGTTGACCTCTTTTCTCAACTACTTCACTAACTTTATGATAATGAGAGGCAACAACCCTATAAAGATCAGGGAAAATAAACTTCAATGGATACTCCCCAAAGCCATTTATGATGTTAAAACGGGATTCAATTGTCATTCCCCACATTCCATGTGAAGTAATCCAGGATCATGGAACTACAATTGAAAATAGCCCGCTACATATAAGACACCTCCTTCCCTCTACCACCCCCGATCCACAAATTATAACTATCTATCCCATATTTAGACCATAAAACTTGATGCCAAGGATGATTTTTCAAGTATAAGCTTCACCACCACCATTTGCAAAGTAAAACCCGATTAAACTTTGAAACTTTCTGTATACCCAATCCACCTTCACGTTTGGATGTGCAGACTCTATCCCACCTTAAAAGATGGAACTTCCTTCTCTCCCCACTTGATCCCCAAAGCAAGTCTCTCATCATCCTCTCAATTCTCTTTGCAATCGAAGCTGATAAGTGAATAAGGGACATTTGGTATACTGGCAAGTTAGCAAGGCAGGATCTAAGCAAAGTAAACTACATCTTTCAGTAAGATTTAGAGGTAGGCCTCACTTGTAGTACGAGGTAGGCACCTTCTACAAAGCTCATACTTTTTATATTGAAATTCATTACTTGTTGGCTCGCAGTGCTCCTCCTACATACATTTTTTCCTAAATAAATAGTTGGACATAACATGAAATTTTTTTTTAAGGAAAGATTAATATGATTTTCTTAGCAACTTTTTCACTAAATTTATATAACAAAGATTCTTAAGCAAATAGTTGTCAAGGATGAAAGCTCAGTGAGAAAAATTGGGGAGAGCTATAAAAGAATTGGAAGAGAAAAATAAGCTATGAGAAGTCTCTATAATATATTATTTTTTAAATAAGATATGTATAAATCACAAAAAGCTCTTCTTATTAAGAGATGGATGCAAATTTTTTATTGGCAACTTTATCATTGTAATTTATATGACACATGAAATAGATTTCCAAGAATATTAATTTTAGGGATGAGAGTTTAGAAAGAAAATAAAAGGGATAAATTTAAGAGACCGTCCCACACCCATGTATGTAGGATCACAAAAGATCATCATTAAATTTGGCACAAATCTCTAGAAAAGTCAAGTCCCACACCTATGTGATAACTTTTCTAGAAATCTGTGCCAATTTTAATGGTGATCTTTTGGGGTCCTACACACATGAGTGTGAGAGGATCTCATAGGATTATATATATATATATATATATATATATATATATATATTA